CCATATTTTTAAGAGCATCTCCATTTCCCTAAAATAAGATAATAAAATACTTAAGTAAATGTTTGAATAGCAGCTTTAGCACATATACCATAAGTACATAATCCATGTAAAATAGGTTTATCAAATCCTCCCAAAGCAGCCATATTCTTAAACACTTAATTTAATATAATACAGGATCAATATGTAATGGATTAATATCTCCAGATAATCTATAAATGATTGCTTAATTCGGAGTTGTAACTTATTTTACTTCTTTGCATGCAGGTCTTTTAGGAATGGCAGGGATATTTTCAACTGGATTTCCTTTATGTCCAAAACCTCCTAATCCTCTTATGAATAGAGATAATGTATTAACAAAAGCCAATGTCTTCTTTCCTTATCCATCTACTTCTGAACTTAATAAATCAAATTAAATCAATGCTCCTTTTCCTTTATCAGATATATTAGCTATCTTTCCTTTTGTTACATATTCAACACCTGCTTTCAATGGTCTCAACACTTAAATTCTCTATTCTCCATGTAATAACATCATTGGATTAAAATTAGGAATTCCAGGACATGATGTTAAAGCCTTATTAAATATTATAATCATAAACCTTAAATATATCTGTTCTATGTAAACAAGTTGTGAAAGTTGGAAAAACTTTGAAATCATCATGTAATTCATATGTATAACATAATTCTTCTCCATTCATTGGATCAGAACTATATCCTATACCAAGTGAATATAAAATTGCATCTCTATCAGTACATAATGCTCTAACTTCTTCTGTCTCAAAACCTATTGCTTTTCCTACTTCTATTGACATTTTGATATTCCAAAATATTTTTAATATTACTAATCATAATTAAACTATACCCAATTTAATACATATAATCATATAATAATAACAAAATTATCAATTTCTTAATCTCTAATCATTCTTTTAGGAATATCTTCATTTCATATTATTCCTATTTAAATTCAAACATTTATATTAAAATTTCTAAAATTCCTAACTTCAAAAAATGTATTTTCTAACAATCTATATATTTAAATCAAATAAACATAATATTTCTACCAATAATAAGTCTTTAGAATTTTATTTCTATAAAATATTTACTAATATTAAAAATTAATTTATGTATGTTTTCTATCTTAATTCGCATAAACCTCATTAATTTACAAAAACTTAAATTACATAAAAAGTCTTTTGAATTACTCATATCATTATTTGACGACAAAATTTTTATTTTTAAAAGGATAAAGCTTAATAGTTTGATTTCCTTTTACTAACCTAAGATATTGTGATTTAAAATCAATAAAATTATTCAAAACTATAAACAATATATTATCCAATTTTTATTTTATCCTTTTTTTTCTAAATTTTCTTGAGAATAATTTATTATTATAATTTATAAAGTTTACATAAATATTTTAACTTATAAAAGATTGATAGATAATTAGGATATAATTAAGGAAGTTAAGGCTAAGTTTAATATGTATAGATAAAAAAATCATCATCAATAATATCACAATAAAGTTGAAGCATAACCCTAAACTTATCTGAAATATTTGGATTGTGAATATCTAATTTTAAATCTAATTATCAACAATTTAAATTACTGGGGAATTGATGGTAATTTAAATTAAAAAGCAAATGAATTTTTTTAGAGAATAGTACAGATTAATTTATCCAATTTTAATATGGGGAATAATTTAAAATAAAAAATTAAGACATTTTTTTCTTATTTTAAAATACTATCTCAAAATAGTATTAGCTCTCAAAAAGGAATATGAATTAATATATAATTATAGTTGAGCATTAGTATTAAATATATTGATTATGAATTAAAAATTATTATAATTATTTTATAATTCCTAATTTGATAAATAGTAAAAACGAATGAGTGATCATAATAAAGATAAGCAATTTTATGAAAATTAAAGTAAGGAGTTAAGAGTTAAATATTAAAAAGCAAAGGATGGATCATGTAATAGTGAATTTAAAGAATATAGCAACATCTGAACATAACCCTAAAAGAGATAAAGCATAAAAAGTATTGTTCCTTATAATGATTTTATACTCAATCATTTTGGTTACTTTTGTATTACTGTTATATTGGGTAAGAGATTTTCGATACTTTTGTTTTAATGTGCTTAATGATTTTAATGAGTAGGGTAAATTTATTATAAAAATATAGATAGGGCAATACATAGGTGCTTTTTATATAGGAATGATTGGTTTATGGTTTGTTTTAACAGGCTTTAATGTTGTTTTATATGATATTTTAGCAGGATTCTTAATTCAGCCTTTTTGGTTTGCTCTATTCACAGTTTCCTTAGCCAAATTCTTAGCAAAGTATAAATTATTAAATATAATTATATAGATATCTTGGCTTTTTGATAGGAAGATATGCTGTTAGAAGTTTTATTTATACAGCTATGAATGAAAACATTTACTTTATTACTTGTTATTTAGCTACAGAACGTAAACCTACGAAAGTTATGTATCTTATTTAATTTTTGGCCATTCCAACAATCTTTAAAACTTATGCTTGTGGTTTATTTAGAATAACTCATTGGGAATTTATTCATCCAACTTTTTTTGGCACAGTTGTTTGGGCTGGATTCTGGGTTTATATGGGATCTAATTTAGATTCACTTGCTGATGTATTATAATCAGGAGATACTAGTAATTATGTTCCACTTTGGTTAAAATTAATTATGGTTATCATAGTTATTTTTATAATTTATTATTTTATTAGATTGACAAATTCCATTTATACAGAAATTTAAAATGATGCAAGTTTAGCTGATTTAAGCCATATTTTAGAAAAAGAAGATGAAGAATAAGAAAAACTCTTAATTTATAATGAAGAAACTTAAATCTAAGAAGAAAATGAACCCAGTAATAATAGATGAATTTTCAATTTATAAAAAGTTTATTTTAAAAAATAAATATATCAAAATATATTAGATTAAAATCTTACTTTATTTTAATGATTCTTAATAATTTTTATTGAATACTTTTAGTTTTGTCTTCATTTTGAATAATTACTCACTTATAATTTGTCAAACAATTTTTAGTAAAAAAGTAAAATAGTAATTTTTATAACAATAAAAAAATTTTCGTTGAATTTTCAAAGTCTTAAATTAGAGGTTCTTTTTAAATGATTTTTGTTTTTTTATATCTAATTTATTATTTCTATTTGATAAATTCAACACTAATTTTATTCTTAATTGAGTTTGAGAATATTTTTAATTCTATTTTTTTCTCTTTACTCGCAAAAATCTCTAAATAAACCTTTTTATTAATGAAATAAGGAAATACAAATGATCAATGTTTTTATTTAAAAAATCATTAAAAATTAGTAATAACGTTCTTCTACATAATTAGTGATATTTATATATTTTTAAAATTTAAATAAGTTTATGTCAAATAAATTTTTTTAATTATCATGATTCCAATAATAATCTTGTTATATTAATCAGGTTTATGAAATGCCAGATTATTTCAATCAATAATTATTTACTTTAATGAGTATTTCAAAATCCTCTTATAGAACTTTTACATGTTAGAAATATATTAAATTCTATTTTACTAATAAAAATCGAGGCTGTGAAAAAAAATGAACAACAGTAACTAAAAATCTATTTTTATTAAAGACGATTTGTTAAAAACACTTCAATTAGGAGCTTTTTGATTGGAACTAGAATGTGATGTAGCCTTATGTAATTATGAAAACAAAATCATTTACGAATATGATAGTAATTTAAAAGTTAATTAGTATTTCAATCTATTAATTTTAACAAAATTTTAAATAAATTGAATAAAATATATATATAACTCAAAATTATTTTTATTGGATTTCATTTTTTCTACATTAAGTGCTCGATCTTTCACCAGTTTTACCATCTAAGGTATCAACTGATGTAGCATCATTAAATTAGACTTTAATTTATTTATATTCTTTTTAATCTGTCTGATCAATTGAATTTGAAAGTGATCTGTTTTATTTTAAGATAGTTGGTTTTTTTTTGTTTTCTTTTTCTTCAGGATTAATTTTTATACTATCATTTTCTTCTTATTTAATAATAACTTTTTAAAATGAGCCATAAGGTTCAATTGGATAAAATTATTATTAAAATTATTTATTTTATTATTCATTTTATTATTCATCATTATCTTCTTATTGATGATTTTTTCTAATATAAGATGAAGAGAGTGCATTATTAAGATTATATTAAGTACCTTTACTGTCTTATTCTTCTTTAATTGTTTATAGTTAATCTTATATACCGTTATCTAATTTAGCTTCTTCTATATTTTGGTTAGGTAAATAAATATCATTTTTATTGCCTTACTAAAAGATAGTTTTTGGTTGTTATTATTTTTCAGATTGATTAATATTTATACTAACATTATTTAAATTGACTCCATCAATTTCTTCAATTAATTTATCTTCATCATCATTATCATCTTCTATTTCATATTATTATTTAAACATCAATTATTCTAATGCTCCTTTCTAATCCTTTAAAGCACCTTCATCCAAACTCTCAACAGGATAATATTTTCTATCAGGTCCTTAATAACCATCTTACTCACCATAACCTGCATAATTATGATCTCCATAAATAAACTTTTTTATTACACTTAAATTAATTTTTTAATTTGTCTCAGCAACAGATCCAATCATACTTATATTCTCCATAGATTAAAATATATTATCTTTCTCTCTTTTTTATTATTAAATTAATATTAATGGAATAGGAACTATTAAATCTTCTTAACTCATAAATAATCTTTTTCCAAAAATAACTTTTAATGTTATCATATATTAAAATATAATTCTTTTGGTTTTTATAGAACTTTAAGGAAATATAGAAGTGCTTTTTGTAGGTTTTCCATTAGGTAAACTCAATGTTGTTTTTACCTCCTTTTATTCACCAGCTTGTATCTACTCTATTATTATGTAGTTATTTTTTACAATTTAATTCTTAATCAAATAAATCAAAATAATTTGATAATTTACGTTTTTACTATTTATATAAAATTAGTAATTGAGCAGAAACTTAGAATTTGAATTTTTGAATTGAATAACTTGATTAACTATTATCAACTTGAATAACCAGATTAATGTTTTCTCCAAAAACATAACATGGCTTATTTAGTTATATTTTAACTTTTGTACCCTATGATTTAAAATTCAATGTTACCCCACTCTGAAAGCAACATCTTTTTACTATTTTTGATTCTCCTGTATGTTCCATTGATAAAGCAGGTTATAATTAAGCTCTTTAAAGTAGATGAACTACTACTCTATGCTTTTTTGGAGGTTTATATAAATATTTCTCATCTTCACTTTATATAGTAACTGAGAGAAAATATAAGATTCTACACTGCACCTATTTATAATAGTTTATTGTAAAACTAGGTGTAAGATTTGGAACTTCAATCTCAAAATATTTCCTACAGGCTATTATTGGCATTTTTCTATTGTTTAATTCTACAATACTTTCCAAAATCTGCTATTTTCTTTTATTTTTTATAAATGAACTATTTGAAACTGAAAAATTGATTATATTAATCTAATTGGTTAACTTTTTCTTAGCCACAAAGCTAATATAAATATCAGATATTTTTACTTTCAGGTAGATAATACCTGCATTTATATCTTTCGTCTTTACTTTTATATATATCACTCCTTTTATTATATCGCCTGGAAAATAACTTGGTTTATCAATTTTTATTGATATTTAAGCTTGCTCTAAAGTAAGGATGAAAACCATTATATTAATAAATTAATAAAGTATAAATTAAATACAATTTGTTATAAATAAAGGAAGTTTATTTGTNATATTAATGGAATAGGAACTATTAAATCTTCTTAACTCATAAATAATCTTTTTCCAAAAATAACTTTTAATGTTATCATATATTAAAATATAATTCTTTTGGTTTTTATAGAACTTTAAGGAAATATAGAAGTGCTTTTTGTAGGTTTTCCATTAGGTAAACTCAATGTTGTTTTTACCTCCTTTTATTCACCAGCTTGTATCTACTCTATTATTATGTAGTTATTTTTTACAATTTAATTCTTAATCAAATAAATCAAAATAATTTGATAATTTACGTTTTTACTATTTATATAAAATTAGTAATTGAGCAGAAACTTAGAATTTGAATTTTTGAATTGAATAACTTGATTAACTATTATCAACTTGAATAACCAGATTAATGTTTTCTCCAAAAACATAACATGGCTTATTTAGTTATATTTTAACTTTTGTACCCTATGATTTAAAATTCAATGTTACCCCACTCTGAAAGCAACATCTTTTTACTATTTTTGATTCTCCTGTATGTTCCATTGATAAAGCAGGTTATAATTAAGCTCTTTAAAGTAGATGAACTACTACTCTATGCTTTTTTGGAGGTTTATATAAATATTTCTCATCTTCACTTTATATAGTAACTGAGAGAAAATATAAGATTCTACACTGCACCTATTTATAATAGTTTATTGTAAAACTAGGTGTAAGATTTGGAACTTCAATCTCAAAATATTTCCTACAGGCTATTATTGGCATTTTTCTATTGTTTAATTCTACAATACTTTCCAAAATCTGCTATTTTCTTTTATTTTTTATAAATGAACTATTTGAAACTGAAAAATTGATTATATTAATCTAATTGGTTAACTTTTTCTTAGCCACAAAGCTAATATAAATATCAGATATTTTTACTTTCAGGTAGATAATACCTGCATTTATATCTTTCGTCTTTACTTTTATATATATCACTCCTTTTATTATATCGCCTGGAAAATAACTTGGTTTATCAATTTTTATTGATATTTAAGCTTGCTCTAAAGTAAGGATGAAAACCATTATATTAATAAATTAATAAAGTATAAATTAAATACAATTTGTTATAAATAAAGGAAGTTTATTTGTATTGAATATTAGATTTATTTAGCTATAAAAATATAATAAGCAAATAACTTAAATTATAAGTAATCAATCAATATAATTTATATCTCCACAACACATCATCAGTAATGCCTTAGAAGCTTAACTTCTACTTTCTATAAGTAATCTTATTTTTTCAATAGGAATTTCTTCATCATAATCCATTTCAACAGCCTAAATATTTTAATAATATATACATCAAAAATAGATTTAGTTACAATATCAACCATATTATTAGTACAAGGTTCTCCAATATTATATTTCATAATTGAATCCATCATCATTTCACATCTTTAAGATATTTCTTAGTAAGAAAGTAATCCATTACCATTTTCATCAATTAACTAATTAAAGCAAAAAATACTTTTAAAATTAATTCAATTTTTTTATCATTACTCTTAGCTGTAATTAAATTTATAATTTAAAGAAAACCTTCAAAATCTAAACTATTTTCTACTGCAAACAAATTAAATAATTAATCAATCACTCCTGCTGGAGCCATTGATAATTCATTTAAACCTGCAGCAAATGAATCTCTACTTATTCCATTTGGTAGCACTACATTTATATTTATTTTATACTTTCTTTTGTCATTCCTGGTATTTATGTACATTCAAAACTTAATAATGCTTTATATCTTGAATATATTTCATGTATTTCGCTTCTATTTAAACCAGTTTTTTCCATTAATTTTGGAATATTATAATATGTAGCTAATGGTTGTGATTATGCTATATATAAAGGAAACTTAGTAAATTAATTTTTGTATGTTTGATTTTTAGTTTATGTTTTCGCTATTGTACTACATTAACTTTTAAAATTAGACAGTTTTAAATCTATCTATTTATGTTATTTTACATTTTTTTTAGTTTTATTTTATATTTTTATTTAAACCTTATTTTTCCAAAATATCTTAAATTGTTTCAGATTTTACTTCCATTTTATAATCTTTTAAACTTTCATCTAATCTATTTCTTATCAATTATATTTCTTCATTTTCTTCAGTTTTTAAAATATGCATCTATTTTTTTAAACTTTAATCAAATTTTTATTATAAATCATTTGAAGTATTAGACTTCTAAAATTATTATTATTTAGGTCTTGCTGTTGTTGGAATAATTAAATTTTCCATAGGACTACAAATATCATTGCTTTCAATTACTTCTTAAAATAGTTCTTTATCTTATAAAAATTTAAGAAGTTCATCTGTAGAATTAATATATTATATAATGTTCAAAATTTAATTTTGTCTCTCAATTTAGAATTCAATACTATGAAAAGCAAATAAAATTTCCCAAAAATCCATAATTGATTTATTACCCAAAAATACTAGTTTGCAGTTTTGTGGAATTTCCTCAAAAAAGTTAATTTATTGATAATCAAATATGGCTAATTAATTATGAAGTCTAGTAGCACCTAAAGCTATTTAAGCTTCAAGTATTAACTTCTTCTTTTTTAAATAAATATCATCTTCCTTGTATTTACTATTTACTTTTGATCTACTCATTTGCATAATTTTTAATTAGCTTATATCATTTGTTGGTTGTTTAACAATATAAATATGATCAAGATTTTTTCTAAAGTTAATTTCATGAGGTGTCAAACAACGCATACTTGGTCTATAGCTTTTACAAGGAGATAATGAAAATTATTATGTTATGTTAAATCCATCTAAATTTCTTGAAGATTGTGAGATTGCAGGTACATTAGTCTTACTGTTTTAATTTGGCTTAGTATAAACCTTTTTTCTTGGCGATTAGAGGGTTTCCTTTTGAGTAACCAATCTAGGTGAAAATAATCCTTAAATATTTGGAAGTGTTGGTAGAGGAGGAGATTCATAATTCCCTGTCAAACTAATTTATTGTAGCTTAATTCTTTTTCCAAAGAATTATGTCTATTGCATTTTCTGTATAATATTTATTATAATGATATCTTAAAATGATAAATAATTCTGTTCATATTAAATTTCAATTAGTTTTCTTATTCTTAACCTTTATAAAAATAAAAATAGATAAGCAAAGAGTAGCATACTTTCATGTATTATTTTACTGAAAATTATATAAAAAAAAACTTAATTTTATCTTGAAACTAAGCCCTAATTTGTGTACTATATTACTGTACCAATATTCTCTTGATTATGACATACTTCAGAATACAATTTAAGTGTAAATAAATTAAGTTCAAAAAAATATTCAAAGCTTTATCACAAAAATAAAAATAAATAAATATATTATGTATAATCAAAATTAAATCAATTTCTAAAATTTGAACTCTTGTATATCTTTTTTTTTTTATGATAATTTATTTGATTTAAATTATATTGATCTATTAGTAGTAAGATTTTCTTTATGATAAGACCGAATATGAAGTGATAATTGAGTTTTAGGGGTGCTTAATTCTTTTTTTAAAGCATTTTCAGATGTTGTTCTCTATATCTTTTCATATGATTTAGTTAAATTAAGTTAAGCAACTTTTTTTTAGATGATTTTTGAAAGGGATATAGAATCTGATTATTCTTATTAAATATTATGACTTTTAGTATGTTTTCGATTCATTCCTTTATATTTCTTATTTAAATGATATTTTATTTATTTATCTATAAACTTACTTATATTTTTCCTTTTTTCCTCTTTTCTTTCTTCACTTTATTCAGAAACTTTACTAAAAAATTTTTGAGAACATTTGCGATTTGGAGAAGAAATGCAATTTTCTTCATTAACAAAAAAATTATGTTTATGAGGTATTAAATTAGAATATTTTTTAAGTTATATGGTTTCAATTATACTTAAAGTTGAATTGACAGTTTTAAGTTGGTCTTTATAATAATCTTTTTTAATTTTATCATCAGTTTTAAATATTTATTTTCTTAATTAGGTTTTTAGTCTCTCTATTTTCTAATTTTGATAGTAATTTGTTTTTAATTGATTCAGATCTAAATTTAATGAATATTATTCATCTTAACTATCATTCTTCCAATTTTATACATTATTAATTAAATTCTACTAAATATTAAACTTAATCTTTTAAGAATTTTTATATTCTTCAACATTTCCATACATTTCTAAAAGATCAATAAAAAGATTATATTTAATTTTATAATAAACAGTCTCCATTCTTGCTTTAGCTTAAGTAATTCTATTAGGAATATTGTTTATATGTTCATAATCTCCAAAGAATTAGCCAGAATTAATGACAGCAATAATTTAAAACTTTGTTACTAAATTTTAAGATAAACTTGATTAAACCTTATTAAATTTAATAATTTCAACTTCTCCAGTTACAACTAAATAAATATATTCATCTAAATTTCCTGTTTAGAAAATACTTTATCCGCATAGAGATGTATATTATTCAAAGCTAGATAAAGCTATTAATTTTTATTTTTGTTCCCAATCTTAAAATAGTGGAATAGTATTAATAAATTATAGCTTTTTAGCAGTCAATTCATTCTAATGTTTTCCAATTACATCTTAGTACATTTCATATGATAATTAAGCTACAAAAACATCTGTTTTAGCTACTACTGTTGCAGTTCTAGAAACTCTTTGTTCTATTGCAATTTCTCCAAAGACTTCTCCAAACTTTTTCATGGCAACCAATCTAAACTCTTAAAATTAAATTTCTTATATATCCCTAAAATCACTTAGCTATATTATTTATTTAATACTGGCAAATCAAATTTTAAATTTCTTAACTTTGTTTTGATTTTGGAACAAATATTCCAACTTCTCCTGATAGTAAAAAATACATTTTTCTTCCTGGTTCTCCTTAACGAAAAATTACATTAAAAGCTTTGTATTTTTCAACTGTCATAAATCGAAAAATGTCTAAACATTTATTACCCTCAAGTTTATCCTTAAATTTACTAAAATTTATTTAACTTAATTTTTTTACCCAATATATGGAAAATAATCTTCAAAATATTTTTTCAATGTTTCTAGTTATTCTTAATTCCTTAGTAACTAATGCAATTTCAAAATATTAATAATTTTTGTAGTGGTGATAGACTATCCATTCGCATTCTTTTTTAAGATCTAAACATATTTTGTCATAAATGCTTTATCTTCATTGCTTTCATGATGAATATTTAATTAATTTAAACTCCTAAATTATGAAGGAGAAATTTATTTAAGTAATCTGGGAGGTTAGAGCATAGAATTCATAGAAAAATAGTTACTTGCAAATTTGGGCTTTAGAATAACTATTTCTAAAATAATAATTATTTAATCAATATGCTAGAATTCTGTTTAATACCAATGAGCAAAATTAAGTTCATAGTTTATTAAAATTAATATGAGTTAATTAATAAATAAATAAATAAATGCATAAAAATTAAAATATGAAAAGATAAAAAAGATCAAAAGAAAGATATATTTTTGAAGCTAGTAATCTAGTTTAATAATGGAGAGATTTATTTTCAAATGGCTACACAGATTATGCAGGCAACTTAATTAAACCAACATTAAATTAAGCAGCTAATCTTGTAGGCTGTTCAAAAAAAACTTTAGAAGATTATTATAGCGTTTTTAGAAGGGCATCTAAGATTATAGATATAAGTTAATGCTTATAAAAAAAAATGGGATATTTAAGATAAGTTTTAAAATATGGGATAGAAAATTTAAATGTTGCTACACCAGTTTAAGGAGAAATAGAAGAAATAGAAGAGAAAAATTATTACAATGATAGTTGGAATAATTTAATTATTGAAGCTGAGGATCAAAATAATGAAGATTCAAATCTTAATACTGATAGATATATAGTTGATACATAAATAGAATATGAAAGATCACCAATTCTCTATGATAGAAATTAAAATGGATATTGTGATTAAGAATATTGCCTAACAGAAAAAAATTCAATTTAAAATTGGAAGGAAATATAAATTGTAGAAGAAAACGATATGGCTATCCAAAACTAAAATGAAAATTTCTTTGATTTCTGATTTTTTTACTCTCTTTTATTTAAAAATGGAATATACATAATTTATGATAGAATTAGAAAAATATATTTTAGTATAATAGATTATTTAGATTAAGTAAATAAATTATTCGGATTAACATTTTTTTTCTTATAAACATTTTATGTATTTTTTTAATTATAATTGATTAATGGGTAGTGTTTCTTCACATGCAGCATAAGATGAGAATGGTAACCTAAGTAGTCTTCCTATGCATTTAAGGAAAATGGAATTAAAATTTGATATATCAAGAGAGGTGGATCCAGCATTAAAATAATTACTATATTGTATTTTAATTTTATGAATATAGGGTCATTATCTGAAATAAGAGCTGTTTATGAATAGTTTTAAAGAAGAACTTCACTTCCATTTATAGATAAGAGTTTATTTTGCAAAATAGTTCCATTTTCTCGTCCAAATGCAGGATATATATTTGATAATTTTTGCAGAAAATCAAAACTTTTATCTATTTATGAACTTATTTGTGTATTAACAATATGTTCATATACTTAACATATTCATAAAATACATTGTAAAAAAATTAATGTTATACTAGTTTTATATATTGTTTTTGATTTAGATTGTAATGGAAATATAAGTTTAAATGAATTACTTATAATTATTAAATCAATTATAATAGGTTATTGTAAATTAACAAATGCTGATTTGCCTCCTTATGTATAATTAGAGAAATTTGCGAAATTAATGTTTTTAAAAAGTGATATTCAAGTAGATAATTAATTAGAGTTAAGCGAGTAAAATTTAATATTTATATATAAGAATTATAGAATGGTTGGAGAAAGAAAATGATATTGGAAAAGATTTATTTTCATTGTATGAACCAAAATAAAAAGTTTAAGAGCCTTTTGAGGTTTTTAAATCATTTAAACCTTATTCAGAATAAGAAGCAGCAGACATGTTAGAAATGATTACAAAAGCAAATAAAAATGAATACTTTATGAAAAGTCTAAATGATAAATTAAATCAAAGATATCAAGAAAGTTATAAAGCTTCAACTAAAAGTGTTAGATAACTCTAAATCAGAACGAAATAATCAGCTTCTCATAGTTCATTGCCTAAGATTTCAACATAAACAAAGCCTTAAATTTTGGAGGATGAAATTGATGAATTATAAATACTAGAAAAAGCTATTGGAGATCATTCTAGAAAAATATAAAGATATGATTCACCTGCAATAAGATTTATTACTTAACGTGATGGTACTTCTAGAAGAGTAATTGTTCCAACTAAAATTATGAAGAATATTATCATTACTAAAGGTTGTACTTTAACTAGAAATGAAATCTTTAAATTAAAGAGTTATTTCGATAGTCTTTCAGATAAAAATTAAGTTATTTAAGTTAAAGAATTCACCAAGTCTTTTTAAAACAAACCACATATGAAAAGAGTGACTGCAAGTTTATATAATTATTTAGATTCTAAATAAAAAGGTTTTGTTACTTTTGATTAATTAATGTTGAAATTATATCCTTCTCTTACATAGGAATAATTGAAAACCATTAATTAATGGATTTAATAATATAATGAGGTTTTTGCTAAGAGTTCTAAAGAGAGTTTGGAAATGGAATTTCTTAGAGTTGAAAAATAACCAACAAAAAGAAGAAGGATACTTCCAAAATAAAGTATGATTAGAGTTAAATAATTATTTAATTTGATTGATTAAGAAGGGAAAGGATGTATTTATATTATTTTATCCATTTAGTTATATCAATTGAAGATATGAAAAAGACTTTCACTTATGGTTTTACAGAAAAAGAAGTTGAAATTCTATTTTAATAACATGATAATGATCATGATGGAAAACTTTGCATGGATGATTTAGTCAGAATAATTTTGCCTCCTGATTATGAAATAGAAGAAGAAACTGAAGAAAATTCTTGAAATTTATATTTTTAATCAAATTAATTTAAAACAAATTGGCGATCATATAGTTCATTTACTAAAATAATATTTCAAGGGTTTTTAAATTCAGCTAAATTAAATGAATCATATTTAGAATTGTCTAATTTTAATAAGTATGTATACTATCAATACTGCTATCTATCTTTATCCAGGATGGGAATTTGTAAATTTAAATTTATTCATTCTAGTTTAATCTCAAAATTCCCAATTATTATGATTCAAACAAATCTACTTACATCAATCTTTCTTAATATTGATTTTTACTGATTTTCATAAGTAAAACAAAATCTTTCTCTTTTTAAAATTTTAATTTAATTCTAAGCTTTATTAACCATATGATAAAACTAAGAAAAAGAAATAATCCTTTTTACAAGTTAAACATTCTGTTTGTTTTCAGATTTTCTAGTCGTTATTAAGTAATATTATTTTATTCCATCTTCAACTTATCTTATTCTAACTCTGGTTATTTGATCTTCTGTATTATTATCAATTAAAAAAATATCTGTTATTTTGATTTTATTAAAATACAAATTATTTGGGAAGGATACTTATAATTTATAAACTTTATACTTGATTTTAATGAATATTTAACCCAACGAATATTTGTTTGTTCCATTCCTATTATTTTTTAAACAGTCTTATAAATTATTTAAATTTTTTTTTCAAATACTCATCCACGATTTTCAATTAAGAAATGATTTGGATGGCCAATCCAAATTTTTTATATTAATTTATCAGTTTCTATAGCTTTTTTTATTTCTAAATCTTTATTGATGAAATAATTGTTATTATAAAAGTTTTATTGAAGTTGTTCAGCATTGGTAACCAAATGTATAACTGCATCGTAGTTTTTATCTCTTATTGTAGCCAATGGTTTAAATTTTTCCTAAAGTTCTTAAAAAAAATTAATCAATTTCATCTTAATAAGGCAAAATATCTAATATTCCACCTTAACAGAGAATTATCGAATCTTTATCTTTTACATGGTTTGTTAATTCTTTTTGAATAATCAAGTAAATTTTGCATTAAAATAACTTTCTTTATTATAAATTGATTTCTTTCCTGTTTTGTTAATTTTTATATTATTTCTTAATCTTAACCAAAAATGTAATCATCAAGTGGTGGCATTTCAATTACATTATACTAAAAATCTTTAAGTCTTTCTTATAAAAATGTTACTACACTTATTCTACCACTGCCTGGTCATCCTGTTATGCATATACAGTATGTTGATCTTATAGCTTATATATTAGAATTTATTTTTTAATTAACTGTCCCCTCTTTTTATAAAAAAAAAATTTCTTGATCATCCTTTTTTAGATTTTAATCATTTAAAATTTAATTAGATCAGCTTCATACTAAATTATTTCTTTCTAACACTTCTTATAATCATTTATTAGATATCCCAATCCAAAAATTCCAGTCAATACTAAAATGGCGTAAGGAGTATTTTTGATAAAGTTCATAATACTAAATAATTATGATAAATATTATGATATTTTAAATTATCATAAATATTTTTTTAATAATGTCAATTCTAATTGATTTTCAAACTCTGATTTTATATTCTATCCTATCTAACCTACTTCGCTTGTTTCTCCATTATACAATATACAATTTTCAAAAACCTACATCACATCATCATAAAATTCTTAACAAGAACTATAAACATTTGAATTAAGTTTATTCTAATTTTTAATGGATAAATACTTTAATAGTTCCAAAATCCATTGGTTTTGTCACTATTTCATAATAATCGCTAATTCCATACTTTTTTTGATCAACAGGTTGATGAAATAAGTGTGCTCCTTTAGCCTTCCAAATGATACCTAATAATTTGAAATTGAAATATACCTAAAACTTTTTTAGCAATCTTTTCCCATGTATCATCATCTTTTATTTAATTTACAATTGTATCATCAATCAATTCATCAGCATTTACAATTAAATTAGCAACTTCTGGATATTCTAATTAAAATTTTTAAAACTCAATAGAATTTAATTCTCTTTAGTTTCCTTAATTATCTGTGAATATCAATTTGTAAGATTGTTTTGGTAAATCTTTGAATTTCCTTTTTTATAATTATGATCTTGGTGCTTCTCCTTTGCTATTATCATTTCCTCCACTATTTTTGGACATATCATCTTTATTTTTATTAAAATAGTTATTAAATAAATCTATGACTTCTTTTCTATTATATTTTCTAGCAAAAAACAATGCATTTTTTTTGGATGAATCAATATGACCTGGATTACATCCATTCTTTTAATTTAATATTATAATATTACCTCAATTAATACTTTACATATTTCTACATGTCCTCCATTAGCTGCATAAAATAAAGCTGTCTAGCTTGAGAGTTTATCTACAATATTAATATCAATTCCATATTATATTAATCTAGATCAATTATTATAATACCTTATGACAATATCATATCTATTATCTCTAGCTGCATAAAATAAAGGTGTTTAACCATATCTATCTTAATCATTGACATTCACTGTATTAGTTGATAAAATAAAATCAAGAAGTCTTAATCTTCCATCCCTGCAAATATAAAATAAAATTGATTGGCCTAATTAATCTTTGTAATTTAAGTTGGCGCCAAAATCAAACAATAATTCTAATGTTTATAATGCTATATTATCATCAGGACCTTAGACTGCAATGTAGGTTGATATTTATCTTTAAGATGGATCAATTTTATTAACTAAATCAATATCTCTATACTAATCTTAGAATTAAATAAAGATTGATACTTAGAATTAACTTTGTTTTTTCAAAGTCTTAATTTTTTAAAGCAATTTTATAATCATCATAAATACTTTATAGCTATTCTGAAGTCAACTTTTATTATTATTATTCAGAAACCATATCATATCCATTATTTTATTAATAGGATTATACATTTTGACTATTTTCTGAAACTCCAACAATCGACAAAAACTAATTATAGGCTAGATAACTATTTACTTTTACTTATCTCATCTTCATTAATTTATTATATTAAAGATTGAATATCAGATTAACTGTAATTTGCAATTTCTAAGATTTATTCTAAATCAGATTTTGTGATTCTGTTGTTTTACTGTTTTTCTTAAAACTTTTAGGCTAGAAATCCTAATTGTGGGGAAAAGTTCATTATTAAATTTTATTTAAATAATTTAATATTAGTAATATTTTTAATCGATATTGATCAAACATTACTCAAGCTCTTTAAGAATTCAGCATAATTAACTCTCTTCATGGTATCTGTAAATGGATCCAATTAATGACATAAAAATTCAACCTCTTCAGCTGGAACATTATTCTTTAATAAAACTTTTTTAATCTTCTCTAATGGAATATATCTAAATAATAATCTAATATACCTATCATCATCTTTAGCTAATAATTTAAAGGCATTTCTAACATCATTAAAAGTATAATCTGTCAGTTTTAAATTAAAAATTTTTAAAAACTCTTCAAAACCAATTTATTCTTTTTTTCCAAATATTCTTTGAACCATCTCATCAAATTACTCTTAAGGGATCTAAAATTATCATTAAAATCATAATACCTTATAATCAATCATTATGAAAAGATCTGCCAATCCTTTTTTATCTAATTTTCCTTCAACTGCTTTCATTGAAAAGATTTCTTTAAATGCTTATCTATGTGCATTCTTTACTTCTAAGCTCATTAAATTTATGCTTTTTTAAATATTAAAAAATAATAATCATTACTATTATAAATCTAAAAACTCTTCACATTCAAAATAATTTGATTCTGTATCAATTTTTATATTTTGAATCTAAATCAATAACATTTTATCATAAACATATCATGATTTATTCTCCTTGAAATGTTACTTTAATAATTATAAGAAATATGACAAAGTAGAACTTTAAAAGCCATATCTTTTTCTTATTCTATGGCATTAAAATTATACTATTAAAGTCTTGATATATAAAAGATTTATATATTCTTTATAATTAATAATAATGTTAAACTCAGTAAGAAAATTAATCAAGTGTAATGTAAAAATTTATTTTTTCTTACAAGTTGAAATAATACCATAATCATAATTGATTATAATATTTTGATATATTGGAAAAATCCTTTTTTTATATAAACTCAATTTGATTCTTAATTTTATTAATATAATTTATATTTTATTAAATTTTATTTAAGCAAACGAAATCTGATTTATCAACTTTTTAATTTTATTATTATATTTATTAATAAAGATCTAATTTAGAGGGAAGAAAATTATATTCAAAAATTTCTTAATTAATTGAAATTTTATATAAATATATGAACTTTTTAGATTTTATTTAATAACAAATAAAAGAGAAGTAAGATACAATAGAAGAAGTTCCATCCTAAATAAAAGAAGAGGAACCTTTGAATTTAAATGAAAATCTCGATGTTTCAGATAATGGAAGTTCATCTAATGAAGAATAATTATATGAAGAATATTTTAAGGAAAAACCTTCTTTAAAAGCCACTTATGATGATATCTATGAGAAGTTGAAATAAAATTCACCTCCTTAAACGGAATTGGAAAATGAATAACTTTAAATAATTGCAGAATTATAAGCAAAATTAGTATTATAAGAAACGGAATTACTAATTCTTAAAAGGCTTAATTAGGATTTAAAAAATAACTAATCACATTAAGCTAATAGAATAGAATAAATGTAAAAAGAAAAGGATGTTATGACTTAAGTAAAGAATATTTATAAAATAAAAGATGAAAATAGGTTATGATAAGAAGTTTTAAAAATTAGATGAAAAAAGGAAAATAATTGATTAGAATTAGAGGATAATAAAAAAATTAGCAATGTCTACATCAAATGATTATTTAGAATCAGCAATTAAAAGAGTAAATCAATAAGTTAAAATAAATGAGTAAATATTTAACATATAGAAATAGCAAAGTGTAAATTCTTAAAGAATAACCTCTAAAGGAAAATCCATAAGTGAGAAAATTATCGAATTAAAAATAAGTAAATAGTTTTAGAAATAATAAAAAATGAGTAAATTAAAATATTTAATAACTTCTAATATATTTTATAATCAATTTCAAATAATTAAGAATTATTATTATGACTGAAAGACCCATTAAATCTAAACATAATTTTTATTAGAGTTGTTGATATACAATATTTATTATTAATTCTCAGTCCAGCGTCTATAGTATAGAGGTTCGTACGAATGCCTTCCAAGCATTTAGGTCGGGTTCGAGTCCCGATAGACGCAATTTTTTTATGAATTTTTTTAATAAATATAAATTGTTTTATAATCAAAGTATAATAATAATATTTATATATAATTTAAGTATAAATATTAATTAGCCATGTAAAATGTTCATGGTTAACAAAATTAGTAATTCATAAAATTTAGGAGCTTCGTTTAATTTTAGTTTCTAAAAGATTAACAAATTCATTCATAGATATCTAAATAAATAAATAAGATATGATTACCATTCCATCTTTATTTAAATCACAATCTTTAAGAATATCTTACCACATATTTTCATCAATTTCATTTCCAAATAATTCATTAATTTCTTATTTTGTAATATAACCATTTCCATCTAAATCAAACAATTTAAAAGCCTGTTCAATTTTTTTTTTACTTAAAGATTTATCTCTATTGATTGAAGCAGTAACAAATTCACTAAAATCTACTTTCCCAGATTTATTAGCGTCTAATTATGGAAATAATTCATCAACAACTTATTATGCTGCAATAGAATCTCCTTTATATAATTTCATGTATGCTAAAAATTAAATAATTATTAAACCCGCATATAATTCTTCTTTACTAACAGTTCCATCACCATTTTTATCAATATCTTAAAATGTTTTTAATAGATCTTCTTTTTCTTAACTTTAGACAACTTAAACTGTAATAAACTATAAAATAGCATATTTAAGTTTATTTTTAGAATCAAAATCTTATAATTTTTTTAAACTAACATTATTAACTAATCCTTTAGCTTTATTATTTGATATCCAACTATGTTATTAAGCTTCAGATGCACTAATACGAGAAGATGGATCATAAAATAACATTCTTCTAATTAAATCTTTTGCTTGCATAGATACTCTAGACCAATCATTACTATCAAATTAATAAGTTCCTTTTCTAACTTTATTTAAAACCTCTCCTTCACTATGTCCAAAGAAAGGAGGATATCCACATAATAATACATATAAAATCACTCCTAAAGACCATATATCACATTTTTCATCATAACTTCCATTTAATACTTCAGGTGCTACATAAAATGGCTAAAATATTAATAGAAAATACAGTTCCTATTCTTTTTTATAGTTTTTCATCATTTACTAATTTAGCACTTGCTCCAAAATCAATTATTTTTAATGAAGCACCTGGATTTTTAGAATCAAATAATATATTCTCAGGTTTTAAATCTCTATGTACAATACCTTTTGAATGACAATATGCAACTGCTGTCAATATTTATTTCATGTAACTTGCTATTTCTTTTTCTGTTAAAATTTGAACAAATTTGATTTTTTCAAATAATTCACCACCTTCATAGAAGATTTTTTAATAGTATTACCATCACAATATTCACTGATTAAATAATATGAATTATCATCTTAATACATTTCATATAATTTAACAATATTTGGATGATCGATATCCATTAGAATATTTGTTTCTTCTAATAATTTTTCTTAATCTTCTTTTTTTAATTTTGATTTCAATATTAACTTCATAGCTCTCACCATACCTAATAATAAGAAATATTAAAACCAGTTTATCTATGAACTACTTTATATACTTTTCCAAATCCTCCTTATCCAATCATTTCTTTAACAGTATAGAATTCGCTAACATTTTTTTTTGAATTAATTCTCACAAACATAGTTTATTTTATTGCCCATTATTTTTCTTATCCTTATTACTTATTTTATTATTAAGAATCAGAATTATTTTCTTTTTTTCCACTTTTCATATCTTGAGAATAGTTAGTCTCTTTTTTAGGAGTCTATTCTAAATCTTTTTCACGTTCATTTAATCGTTCCTTTAATTTACTTTATACTTTCAAATCTAAAATATCTGCCATATATTCAGGTTATTGATACTCTGTTAATTCTTTAGCTAAATCTGTTAATTAATTCATATCTAAAATATTTTATTTTCTAACCATTCAAATGTCCTTAACAACAGCCCATGATTATAACTATTTATTATTTATTAAACTAAAATTTATTGTTTTAATTTCTACAATTATTACTTATATCCTTTTAAATCATAATTAAATTATATTTTATTTACTTCTAACACCATTAACTTCTTTATTAAATGAATTTTTATTATTATTATTATTATTTAATATATCATAAATCATAATCATTTCTTCTTCCAGGATTAAACCTTTGAGATTATTTTCTAAATTCTTCTTCTTCTTAACTCTTCATTATATCCCAATTTTAAACTTTCATCATATTTAAAACATTCTATCTATTTTCATTACTCATTTCTTTATACAACAACTCTAATTTATTCTTTTTATCAATAATTACCCAACCTCTTATTCAAATATCAATTTATCAACACTATCTCTCAATTATATATGTTAAGTCTATTCTATTTGAAAAGCTTCATCATTATATAAAATCTACTATTTTAAGAACACTTCTTTCTCTCTTAATAAATCATATCTTTATTTCTATACATTGTAAGAATCTATATTAAAATACTTATCTACATATTGCTTAATCTGTTTCAGGTTATATTTATTATCTTAAATTACTTAAAGATTTCTTAGCCTTTTACATTAACTAATTTGTAACATCTAAGATCTTTTAAGAATCATCTATAAATAATTCACTAAACTCTTCTAATTTCTTTCTAAAATCCATTGATCTTGATTCTAAATACATTTTACTCTAAGTAAAATCATTTTAATAAAATTTATCATAAAATTCTTCAAATAATTCCATCTTTTCTATTTCATCTTTACTCTTTAATTCAACATCTTAATCTGTTATTGTTTACAATACTTAATAACAACTTGATCTAAAATTTAATTAATCAACTGAATAAAAATATGTATTCAAAGTCTCTTTGTCATATTATATCTAATGAAATAAAGGCTCCATAATTAAAATTGAATCTAAAATGCCTTCCAAACATGTTTTCTTAGGCAAATAATATTTTTCTATCATTAAAAAACCCTTCTCCATTATTTCTTTATTTCTTTTAATTTAATTTTCTAAATTTTCTTCATACAATTCATATATTTATTCATCATACAACAATTATATTTGACTAGTGTATCTTTTACTTCTTAACTCATTCATTCGCAATATGTATTCAAATATTTCCTAATGATTGATTATTTCAAATGCACTTTAGCAATTTGAAAGAATAAATAACAAATTAAAAACTATTATCATAAATAATTATAATTAAATTTTATAATGACTCATCATGTATATTTCATTTTAACTATATTGATTTTAGTAGATTCTAAATACTCATTATAAAATTTAATTTTATTATACAATAATGATACACTCTTCATTAATTTACTTAAATAAGATAAAATTAATTAGAATTTTATGAATTAAAATAGATTTCTTTAGAGAATGAGTGAATAGTAATATATTAAAATATTTTAGTAAGACTAATATCATAAGCTATTCTATTTTTTATTATAGTATTAATAACATATTAAATAATAAATATAAATAAATATGGATTAAGATTTAGATTTATAAACAAGCATATCATCAACAGATATTGATTAATCAGGAAAGAATTTGGTAGTAGGAGGAAGAGAGATCTTAAAATTAATAGATTTAGATTAAGTGAATAAAAAGATGAATATAAAATAGAATTTGAGAAGATAAGGTACAAAATTAGCAATAGGTTATGTTGAATTTAATAGAAGAAAACCAACTTTATTATTGGCTGCGTCTGTTTAAGGTTAATTTTAAGTTTGGGATATTGATAAATAAAAAGAAACTGTATATAGAAATCATTAAGCAGCAATACATAGAATGAATTGGCACAATGAAAATTGTTTTATAAGTGGTGGATAAGATTATACAATCAATTATTATGACTATCGTTAATCAACTGCTTAACCAATATTTACATTATAAAGAAATGAAGCTATTCGTGATATTAAATTTAATATAAACCGAGATAATTATTTTATGGCAGCATCAGAAACAGGTTAGTTAGAATATTTTGATATAAGAAAATAATAAGATGTAGTGACTGAGATTAATTTAAAAGGTAGAAAACAAGATCCTTTTACAAATTTAATTATTTGTTTAGATTGGACAAAAGATAATGTTTTAGCTAGTGGTTCAAATGATAAAGAAATTAAAATATTATAAGTAGAAAATCATACTGACATTAAAGAAAAAGGCATTATTTAACATATTGATGGATCTTCTCACATTAAATGGCATGTATAAAACAATTCACTTTTAAGTGTATCATCCTTAAATAGAGATATATCAGTTACTACTTATGATATACGAACACCTTTTAGACCTATGCATATTGTTAAAGGTCATAATGATATTATTACTTCCTTTGTTTTTAATTAAGACGAATAGTATATCTTTACTGGATCTAAAGATAAATATTTAAGAATGTAATCTGTTAGATAAGCATATTAAGTATATAACAATTGTCCTATATTTCCAATTGCTTTTAATTAATATAATGATTTGCTTATGAAATTAGAATCTCCATATCCTTCTCATTATGAATCAGACAAAATCAATCATTCTACCATCAATTTACATTCAATATAAAAATAATCCTCTAATGATGAAAATTTAATCTAAAAGTCTAAGACTCAATATAATTTGTTTTAAAGTTCTAATTAAGATATTCAAAAAGCTATTTCAGTTTCTCCTTCAAATTAATAATCTTAAAAAACAAATATCAGATCCATATTCTATATAGAGGCTATTGATTAAAAATTTGATCCCAAAATCCCTTTTGAAGAAGAATTAAAATATTTTTAAAAGAATTATAATTCCAAAAAAGATTTTGCTTACAATAGTAATGTAGCATTACAAATTGATAAACCAGAAATAGCACATTATTGGAAAGCTTTAGAACACCTTATTAATGATCTAAAAAAATTATCAAAAGATGTTACCTCTAATAGTATTATACAAGATTGTCCTGTTTAACTACCTAATAAAACTAATGATTAATCTGATGATGATTAAAAATCTCCTTTAGAATAAACAACCCAAATTACAAAAAATAATAAACAACATGAAAAAAAAAAATTAGATTCTTAAGATCTATAAAAACTTTATAAATATTTTGAAAAATATCCTGCAGCATTTAGATAAGAATTAGATAGCAAAAATATTATAATTGAAGATTAAAATCATTTAAAAATTCATATAGAAAGAATACCTTACTATAAGAATTTATTAAGAACAATGACTCCTATGGGATTTTTATTAACAGATAAATAATAAATGATGTAATAATATTATTATAAATTTAATTAGTTAAGTTATTTCAAATTCTATTCTTTAATTAATTTAACATGTTATAGATTAAGGAGATCTTCCCAGTGGATTTTGGATGGCAGCATGTGCAAAAAATTAAGTATAATTTCCTGATTTTAATGCTAAAAAATGGACTCAATCTTATATTGATTTATTAGTTGCCTTTGGAAAACATACATTAGCTATGAAAGCTGCATTAGAAAGCCCAGTAGAATAATTTAGAACTAGTAATAAATATGTTACAAATTATAAATGTCTTGGTTAATGTAAAAATAATTAAACAACAGGTCCATTTTGTAATATTTGTAAAATAGATTTTAATTGTGCCATTTGGTATAATAATTAATAATATATCATAATAGTTTTAAACCTGTAAAAGGTCTTTATTTGTGGTGCCAAAATTGTATGCATGGGGGTCACATGAAAGAAATGAAAAATTGGTTTAAAAATAATACTTAATGCCCTTTAGGATGTGGGCATAATTGTTTTGATAAATGATTTTAATTAAATTTGTATATATTTATATATATTGAGGATTAATCATGAATTTTAAATTAGATTCCAACATATTTGAAAATTAGGATCAAAGCTCTCTAAAATAACTAATTTCATTTCTTAGTTTAGACATTTAATTTGATGGATAACAATTTCAATATAAAGACGATAAATAATGGGCAAAATTTCAATAATTTAGATAATCATTTAATACTTTAAAAGAAGTGTTTCCTAATTTTAAAATAAAACTTAAACCGAAATTCTAAACTATCTAATAATAAAAAAATCAATCCTAATAGAGCGATAAAGAATTTAAAAATTCATCAACTTAAATACAAACTGATAAAAGTTTACCCAATTCTTAAACTGAAAAATCAAATTATAAATCTTTTGAGACTCCAACTGATTAAGGAGATTCATAATTTGTATAAATTCATTAAAAAGTTTAATAAATTAACGATTCTTAAAAATTTAATGAAGATATTTTGACAAATTCACAATATTCAAATCTATAATTAAGATCGGAGATAGATGATTTAAGTTTGGGCTCATTTCATGAATTCCCTTAAAATAGCTCAATACTAAATCAAAATTTAGATTCAAGTATCTATGGTTTTGATGACAAAATACAAATTAAATATCAAAATGAAGCTTTTACAATTTAATTGAAAGATAAAAATATTTTATATATTATTGAGTAGTTATTTTTAGAAAAGTGGAATCTATTGATTTAATAACTAAATTTAAATAAGCAATCAATGAATTGCTATAAATTATAGTTAAATACCGATTTCTTTTACATAAATCAAGAAATTTAAACATTTATTGAATCAATTATTTTAGTTGAAATACAATTTTGCTTTTATTCATGTTATACTATGAAATAGTAAGAGTCTAAGATAAATTAATTTTTATAATCACAATAAATTCATATAGCATAAGTAAATGATGATTTTTATCTTGTTTCTACTTAATAGTCTTAATCATTTCTATAAGATATTTTATCGTAAATATAAGAAAATTATAGAGGTTATATGCTCTATTTTGCAAATATAAAACCTTATTCAAATTATTCTGATAGTAATCCAATTTTAGAAAAATCTAGATACCTTTATTATAAAAAATACTTAGCAACAGAGATTAATCAATATGGTTTTAATTAATATTTTAATGAGAACTTTTTTTTTATAGAAATGAATTTTTCATAAATTTAAGAAAATAGAGAATTAGTTGAAAAATATTTTAAATAATATGTAGGAGGGTTTATTAAAAATCTATTTTTATTAAAATTTTCTATTTAAACAACTTTAGAGTCAGGGTAAAAATTAGAAAAGAATTTTTAGAGTTCAATAGATTCTTTGAAATTAAAAATTTTATTCTATAAAAATAATGATGATTGGATTTTATTTGGTGTTAATGAAGATATTATGAATTTGTTATCTCACTTAGAAAAATTGCAATTTACAATTAAAATTCTCTAAACTCAAATTGAATTTGATCAACACAATTATTTATTTAAATTTAAAGGAGCTTAATAGAAAATTGATTTAAATTCCGTTATAAAGCTACTATATGAATTTGGTTTTCAATAAGTTGAGTCAAAAAATTTAGTATTTTCTTCATTTAAAAATAAGGATTTGAATTTTATTTACTTAAGTAAAAAATTATATTTATTAGAGTTTAAATCTTAAAATTTTTATGCAGCATTCGGGAACAAAATAATAATAAGATTGCCCTATAAACATTTCATTAGAAATTTATAACATCTATTGATAATAAAGATTTAAAAAAAGAAATTGCATGTTTTAGTTAGATAAATTCTGGAATCATTTAATAATTATAATAACAAGTATTGACCCTTAATATACGTTCTGATATACAATAATTTCCAATCAGCCAAACTATAAGTTTGAATGTAATTTTATTTATTAACTATTAAGCCCATATTTTTAGATGAAATTATTGTGGATAATAACTATCAAGACTTTTTTAATAATTTGGTCAAAACTAACTAGAAAATATAATTTTAAAAAATATCATAAGGAAATTATCAAATATAATGTATGAATAAATAAGTTGTGACTTAATTTCAATAATACTTTGATTAATTTTATAGTGAAAGATTAGATTTGGATAGAACTTCATTATCTTGTTTTGAACTTAGTCATTATTTACAAAAAGAAATGAAAAAAAGATCCATATTTTGGAAAATAACAGAAGAAAAATAATTATATTTAATTACAAGAAATACCGAATCTCTTAAATATATTCAAGAACTAAAGTAATACAAAGGAAAAATAATTTATATGCTTAGTTTGAATTGTTAAAATTTTAATGAGAAAATTGAATTCCATGAATTAGTTTTAGCAAGAACAAATTATTTTAAATATAAATTGCTTGATTTTTTAAAATAACTTTTCAAATAAATAAAAGAAATTGAATTTAGAGAAGAATAAGAAATCAGTTCATTTTGTATCATTCATTCAAATTAGGTTCAATATCTAGATTAATGCATTGAAGAAATTCAGAAATTAATAGGTTCTTAGATTTTCCTTGAAATAAAAACAAAACCAGAATTTGGAAAAAAGTTTCTTGAAAAAATAATAGTAATATCAGATTTATATGTCTCACAAATACAATAATATTCAGATTATTATATCAAAATCTTAGGAAATAAAAATCATTTCAAATAAATAAATTAATTAATTTAAAATATATAAATCCAAGATGAATAATTTACAAATTTGAATATCAGTTTTTACATTGAATAATTTTTACCTTATAAGAACATTATTTAAAAAAAACAGGATCGAGCTAAATTTAAACTCTATTTAGAAAGTTAAGGATGTATATTGTATGATACTAATATTAAATGGAAAATAGAAATAAGATAATAAATTTCAAAAAGTATTTTAATAATTATATTTTAGTAACTATATTTTCAATTTTAGCAGAATGGATGAATCAAGAGATAATATAAACATAAAAAAATTAAAATTTATTAAATTTGGTATCTAGAGAAGAATCATTAATTTAGCAAAATTTTTCAAATATTATTTTTGAAGATTTTGAAAAAACACTTTTTGAATTGATAAAAAATGAAAATAATTAAATTAACAATGATGAAATTAAAATATAGGATTAAGTTAATTTAGAAGACAATTTTTAAAAATAAGGTGTAAATTATAAATAATAAGAGGTTTAATTTTAATAAAATTTTACAGATAATTAATCTTAAAGTGAAACTAGTTATTAAGATCGTCAAGAAATTTAACCATTTGATCTTTAAATATTGGCAGAATTTAAAAAATCTGCTTAGCAAATATCACTTCCTATAAATTCTAAGGCTACTTAATTTTTGTAGGATAATAATTTACATCATAAATTAATATTTTTAGAGCCACATGTAGATTAAAATTATAAGAAAAATTTCTTCAAACAAACATGTGATTATGTTGAACTTTATGTTATTTAAAAATAAGATAAAATTTATGAAGGAACCTTTAGTAAAAGAATTATTTATTGGATAAATGCAAAAAAAGCTATTGAAAAATTTATTCAATCTAATCATCAAAATTAAATTTTAATTTTTTTTAAAGCCAAAAAATCTTGTAATTTTACTTATTTACCGAATGATCAAGAAAAAATTTGTTTAATGGAAGATAATTAAGTATTGCCATATATTTTTGGTAAAAAAAAATGATTTAATTTGTTTTTTATTAATTATCATTATAAAAAGATTATATTATCAATTTTTAATCTTATCTTAAATCAAGAAATTGATGATTTTTATTAGAGTTTTTGGTATTTAGATTTCCAATATTAAATTTCTTAAATTAAAACTTCTTTTTCAAAGTCTACTTATTTCAACTTTTGATGATAGCTATTTAAAATATATGACATCCTTTCAGCTATTTATTATAAATTATCTTCAATATTATTTTATTAATTTTATTAAATTTGTGTAGATGATGAATTAGGATTAAGATGAGAACAAAGTTAACCAGATGAATTATTGGATAATGACCCTTTAATTTTTTATCGAAACTTTAATTCAGTTTAAAAAGATTGTGGAATCTATTGTTTTTATATATTAACAATATAATTAGAATTTTGAGATGTTTATTTACGATGTTTATTAGAACTATCTTTTTCATGTAATTTTTCAAATAATGCAATTAATGAACTTCTATCAGTTTTATGATTTCTAGATTAAGTAGAATTAGGTTTGGCAATTCCAACTTTTTTTGTTGGATTAACTGAAGTATTATGGTTTTCAAAATTTTAATTCTCTAAAAATGATGTATATTTTTCTAATTGATTCAATGATTATTATGATTATACATTCTTAGCTGAATTTCCTTAATGATTTTAGGCAACTGAAGTATGACAATCAAGAGTGTTGTTTTATTTTTTTATAATCTATTTCTATCTCTATTGTGTAGATGTAGACACAAAATAATTCTGTTTAAGTGAGTTAGTAGGGGAAATGGAGAATGCTTTGCTAGAATTATAGTTTTATCCCAACATATTAAATAATTTTTTCTTCATTATATTACAATCTTACACATTCTAAATAAATAAGAATTTACTTCCTTTTTTCTTGTTTCGGCTCCTTTTGATGAATGAGGTTGGCTGTAGATTTAATTAATATTAGTTAAAGAATCCTTCATACCTAACTTTTACCGAATATTTTATGAGGTAGTTGCTTTTATCTATTTATGCTGCATTATTTATATTATAAAGAAAAATATTAATAAATGTTTAGAGACTTAAATATAATTGATTTTCGATATCTTGTTTTACTACTTACGTGCACTACTGATCTCTTATTTCTTATGATTGAGACATTTTAAGAAGAATTTAATACAAAATAAAACATATGGATTAATATCTCTATGTATATCATACTTTTAAGTAAATCATTAGTCTAATATTTTATTTAGCTTTGTATTTTTGTTTTTATTTTATATTTAGAAGGAGAAACTAGACTTTTTTATTGGATATGCTTTTCTTTATTTACTTTATTTCTAAATGCTTATATTAAACCATTTTTTTAAAACCTTCTGATTATTTTGGGATTATTTATTTACTCATATTTTTTCATCTATTTTAAGGAACCTTTAAATAGAAACAACTTAAAATTATACTTCCAATTATTTTGTTCGCTCATCTTGTTTATTAAATTACTTAAGAAGAAAATCAAAATAAAAATTCGCATACAATCTCTTTCGTGTTTTAAATCTTATTTTTTATAATTGCTTTATTCAATGAAATTTAAATCTAAATATCGAACCTTTCGTTACAAACTCAATCAAATAACAATCAAGAATAAATTGGCTGTTAGCTTGACTATTTAAATGGAATGGTTAATTATTTGAATATAGGAGTCTTAGTTTATGATTAATCATATAAAATTGTTTATAAAACACAGCAAATGGATAAAATTGAATCTATTCTAGAATGTCAAAATTAAATTGAAAATGCTACTTATAATCCAAATAAGTCTGAATCTTAAAATATAGTAAATCTTAAATTATTAAATTCAAAATAAACTGATAATATATCCTTTTTAGAGGATATCAAAGTTATTGGTTATAGTTTAAATGAAAATATTAACAAAAGAACCTTTTCTTTAAAATAGATTATAGAAAATGCACATAATAATGACTTCGAATATAATTATTACAAATTCAAGATCTTAGGACCCAATTAGGAGAAATTAAGATACTATTTAAAATTTTCATTAATGAATTAGAAAAATTAAACTTTATTTGTATTTTCTTTCTAAGTATATTAATTATAATAATATTTAGTTAATAAATGAGAATTATGGAGATTTTAGAAAAGATTAAAAGTTTAGAAATAATCTTATAAGCTCATTTAGCCATAAATTGAAAACTCCTTTACACGCAGTTATAACATATTTAGAAACATGTCTTAATGATTAATAAAACTTAACAAAATAGTTGATAGATACATATATTAAACCTTGTTATTGGAATTCGAAGATTTTGCTCTATACAATTCAAGATATTTTAGATTATGTTTCGTATTATTCATATTAGAGACAAAATTTAAATATAAAAACCATAAACATAATGAAATTAATAGCAGAAATAAAAGATTTAATTATAACATAATGTAGTTAGAAAAGTATATCATTTAGAATAAATTACAATAATGAAGATTTTGATAAGATTTTGGAGTCAAAAAAGGATATGTATATTTATAATAGATTATAATAGATATTGTTTTGTGTAATCTGATTTAAATAAGTTAATGAGAATTCTTGTGAATTTATTAAATAATGCATATAGATTTACACCATAAGGAGGTTTTATAGAATTAGATGTTGAGGAAGTGAAAAATGGAAATTCGAGATTAATTTAATTTATTGTTTCTGATAGTGGTGTAGGATTAAGTTAATAAGCTTAGGAAGAAATTGCTAAATAAATGTAAATACATCAATATCAATAATAAATGCGATCACGAAAGGTATTTAGTATTTAAGATATAATAATATAGCAAAGTTAATTGTTAACTTAATCAATGGATAAAGGAAAATGTTAACAAAATTCAAATCAAAAAAATAAAGTATTAGGGATAAGTTTAAAGATAACTACTAAAATGATCTACTAATTAAATGGATCTAGTCCATTAAAAATAGAGAGTTTGCCTGGTTAAGGATCAAAATTTATGTTTTCTATAGGTGATTTAGATTTGCCTAGTGGATAATATCCTTAATCTGCTAGAAGGTTAAGGAATTAAGAATCATAGAAATCTAATAAAATATTAGCAGATTTTCTAACCTTATAATAAGAAGTTAATTGTGAGGTTGAGAATGAATAAGTAGTAGTTGGATAAATTAAAAAATTAGATAGGATTAAACCTAGTATGTTAAAAAGTCTAAATACTAATTACTTTCGATAAAATGCTCGTATTACATAAAGAAATACAAAATTAATTTAAGGATAATCTTAATTTAGATAGACTTAGAAAAGGAGTAAATAAAATTTAGTTGAAGAATCTGGAGCTATAATAGTAGTAGATGATGAACCATTTAATCATATTTCTTTAGAAATGGTTCTAAAAAGTTTAGGATATCATAGAATAATTCACTGTTATAATGGATAAGAAATAGTAGACTTTGTGAAAAGATAAAAAAACATCAAAATTAGAACTGTTTTAATGGATGTTGATATGCCTGTAATGGATGGTATAACAGCAACTTCAATACTTTCTAATTTAATTGAATAAGAAAAAATTAATCCATTTTAAATCATTGCTTGTACTGCTCATGAAGATGAAGAAACTAAATAATAATGTTATGAAGCTGGAGTAGAATAAATTGTTGTTAAACCAGTCTTCTCTTCTATTCTTAAAGACGCATTGTAAATCTAACATTGAATTCTTAAGATTTATTTTTTATTATCATATATTAGATATTTCTTTAGAGAAAATATTATATCTTAGAATTTTATTTCTTATTAATATGGACAATCTTTAAAATACCGAGAATAGTCCTATTGCAACATATTAATTGTTTGTAAAAAGATCTTTAACAAGGCAACTCAACAATCAAAAACTATTACCTGTCTTTGGATGTAAAATTAACTTATAATCAAATCGATTACATCATCATCATATTAATTTACAACTATCTCCAAATCAAAATTAATCCAATAAATCCCATTCTATTGATCATCAATTAGCTACATTTAGGAACCTTCCAAAAAAAGATTCTTCATATCAATATTATATCAATGAAATTACAAAAAGAAAAACTACAAAGAAATTTAACTTTGAAAATTCATCCACTAATTCTAATCTAATTAAATAACAGCTACAACCTTATTAAACTAAATAAAATTTTGTACTTCCTTAATTATATAAACCTATAAAAATTAAAAAAAAAAATAATCCCTTATAAAACATTATTACAGAACCTGCATTATTAGATGAACTATAACCATGGGAATCAAGTTAAAAATCTATTCCATATTTTTGAATGTATAAAATTGATTTTTTTGATTAATATTTTATTATTATCATATTAATCAGAATAGATTATTCTCCTCTACAAAGCAAGTAACAACTTCTATCTTTGTAGCTATGATATTTTGAACATCCCTAATTATTGCAATCTATTTATCTCTTTCTATGGTATTTTATTAATATTATAATTCGTATTCTTAGCATTATTAGTTTCTCTATTAATTACCATTTTTAGCAGCATTGAATTCCTAAATATATAGATAAAAAATACAGCATGAGCATCTCTTGATCTTTTATCTTGAATATCTCTATTTCTTATAGTTTCTTATAATGCTTCTTCATCACTTGATTTTTCTCTAGTCAAGCTTTCCATAGCATTGAAAATGGCTGCTAAAATAGTATCTGTATCCTAAAAAATATAAAAATAAAATACTCTAGCATTCTTAGCTTCAGCTTCTTCTTCTGCTTTAATACTTTCTTTAATGGAATCTCTAATAGCTTCCATTTTTTCAATCAAAGTCTAAACTGCAGTTGGTTCTAAAGTTGATGTAAGAGCAACCATAGCAGTAATTGGATTCTCTTCTCTACATAATTCAAAATATTTGATACCCTATTTTAGCTAATTAAACTAAGGCTTCATTAATTGCTTCTTCTTCAATAAAAGATCCAGCTTTATGTTAAGCAGCTACATCCCAAACTTAATGTAATTTAGGAAGAATAACTTCAAAGGCTTAAACCATCTCTTTCATTTAAGTAGTTCTTGTTGAAAAATCTAAATTATCTTATCTTCTTATATCTCTAAGTGTGTCATCCTTAGCTTAGAACACTTTAATTTATCTAGCCTTCTCATTAATTTCAGCTTGATAGACAGAAATAGCTTCATTTAATCTCTTAGCCTTAAATTCAGCATCTTTTATTTCATTAATGGAAAGACTGATTCTTTGACTATAATTTTAAAGATCCTTTTTGCATTATGAACCAATTTATGCTCTTTCATTATCAGCATCAATTTATTTTCCCTAAAAATATTGATTTATAAATTATACTTCTAAATCCCCCTTTAAATCATTCAACAATTTGCTTACGGCACTCAAAGATTCGTTTCCTCTCAATTATAAGGCAATGGTCTATAAAATTTTTGAACCAAGTGGATGATCTTAGATCTCTTCTAATTTGCTATATGATGGATCATCTTGAAGAGATAGTTTTTTATGACCTAATATAAATATCAAGTTTATACTTTTCTCAAAAGCTGAATGTTCTTCATCATTGTAATGTTTCTTACACACTACAGGATGTGTAAGTAAGCAGAACACTATTGCTATTGTTACTAAACTTTTCATTAATTTAATATGCTAAGCGTTTTTGGAAAAAAATTATGTTATATAACTTATATATATATAATAATAACTAAAATGAAAAATGAAGGATATGCTTAACAAATATCAATGTTATAAGTTAATTGAACATTAAATCAAAGTTTCATCAAATTGTTAAAAATAAATAGAGAGTGATGATATTAAGATGTTAATATTTTGTTTTTTAATATTACAATTACAATTATTTATTTATTTTAGAATATTTAGTTTTTTTAATGAAAATAAAATACATATGATGAATATCCTATCATAAATATTTTATCAAAAAAGTAAAAAAATTAAAGATAAGATGTTTAAGAAATTTAAGAATAAAAATAATTAACTGTTTTGTTTAATATTTTTAGTATGTTGTTTGATCTTAATTGTAGAAAACAAAAAAGTCTTTATATTGAAATGAAAGATTTTGAATTAAATTTATAAGTTATAATAAAATAAATATAATGAAAAGTTCATAAAGTGTGCACTAATTAAAAGAAGATGAGATAAAAGAATTGAAGTAGTATATCTTATAAATGGAATAAGAACCATCAATTTATGAGAATCTAAATCAGGATTAAATATTTGGAATAGTTGTCATTATATTAACAAAATCTTCATATCATAGAACATAATATGAGATTGAGATTTTGAAAAAGGCTACAAAACATATAGTTTATTTTTAGAAATTGCTTGAGAAGGACTAAGGAGTAGTACTTTGGGAAAGATGTTTAAGAAAAATGAGTTACACATCTCTACGTAAAGGTGAAACTCTATTTAGAGAAGGTGATTTAATATTCTTTATATTTAAGGTGATGTAGGAACAACATTTTATATTATTTTGTAAGGTAGAGTATCAATCCATAAAAGGATGTATGTTGGAGATTGTTATTAAGAAAAAGAGTTAATACAGATGAGTGATGGTTAAGCTTTTGGTGAACTTGCTTTAGAAAATAATGAACCTAGATCTGCTACTATTACTGCAATTGCACCTACTCATTTAGCAGTTTTAGATGCAGAGGATTATATGGTTATCAAAAAATCTGTGGTAATTTATTTTTATAATCAAAAGATTAATTAATAAAGGTAAATGTATTTTGAAGAATTTGCTAAACTCTCCATTTTTAAAGATTGGAAATTTATGAGTGTGAAATCTTTATTTGATGTCATGAAATTAAATAAATTTAGATTAAATCATACTGTTTATAAAGAAGGAGATCCATCTAATGAAGTTTATTTTATTTAAACAGGAGAATTTAAAGTATCTTATTTTATATTCTAAAGGTTATTAAATGTTTAAGAACAAATAAAGAACAAAATAATAATTATACAGAAGTTGATGATGATGTAGAATTCTTAAAATAATAATTTGCATATAATAGACCTTCATTAACAAATTAAGAAAAAATTGATAAATTATACTAAAAGAAAAAGTATGGTAATCTTATAGCCAGTGATAAAAAATTAATAATGACATTAAAATTTTTAGGAGCTGGAGAAATGTTTGGAGAACTTGAAATCTTAAAAGCTCCAGATTTATGTAGATAATTTAGTTTAGTTTCTACTTTTGAAAGTAATAATGTTTATTCAGTTTCTAAAAGAGATTTTATGAGAGTTTTATATTGTGATCCTGCTTTAAATAAAAGCCTTACTTCTTTAAATGATAAAAAATTAAAATAAATATTACAATAAATAAGGGTTTATGAAAAAAATTTTATTGATTAAACTGAAAAAATTAATTTACTTGAGAGAACTTAAAATAAATCCTTTTTAAATCCATAAAATCTCATATAAAATTAAGAGAAATAATAAAAATTGTTATTCAATAGTTCTAGTTAAATTTTTAAAATTAGCAGCAGAATTAAATTAGACGATAATAAATTAAGAGAATAAACTCTAACATTAGATAATCCTGCTGAATCAGAATAAGCTTACTTAAATAAACTATTAAAATCAGCTTAAAGTGTATAACATTCCAGATAAAAAACAGAAGAATTAATTATATAATAATCATTAAAAAATAAAAATAAAACAAAGAAATAAACTAAAAAAAATAAGTCTCCACCTGGAATTTTAGGAACTGCTTTAGAAAACATTAGTTATCATATAAGAAGGTATCCAACTCAAACTTCTTCGAATTAAAGATTTCAGACAAGCCCATCATGTAAATTCGATATGGATAATGCATAAAAATCAAAATTATTTTTTACAACTTGCTTACCTCTAGTCTTGTAAAATAACTATTATAGACTTAAAACTAAACAATCATGATGATTATTATTGATTTAAAGTTAATTTTTTTATGTTATGAAAGTTTAATTTATTAATTATTCAAATTACTACAAAATACTTTAATGCTTTCTTAGTAAACATTTTAATAATGAATTATTTTAAATAAATAATCTTAATATATACTTAAAGTGTTTATAAAGACTTCATAATAATAATAATACATTTAAAATGAATTAGACTATATAAAATGAAAGCTAGATAATTTTAAACTTATTGTCTAAACAGAAATTAGGTCTCTATGAGATAATTTTTTAATTGATGATTGTAAACCAACATGAAACTAAATGAAGTCATCAAACATAAATTCTTTTACAAAAAATTTAAAAATAGTTATATAAATATATATTAATTGAGAATTTAAAATTAAATCATTTTTTTATTCCATTTTAAAAAATCTTTTTCAATTGATGTTAGGAAAGTCAAGGGGCAAAAATTTTATATAATTAATAAAGATAATGTGTAAGTTATCATTATGTCATTTCTATATGTTATTTTTCAAGTGTCTAAATGAGAAAATTAACTTTGTTTTCAATTTTTTCTATTTTATTCAATTTTTTTAATGGGTCTATTCTAAACTCCTTATTCAACTTCTTGAAATTAAACTTACATATTTGTTTATGAATTGATACACTCAGATGATCAATTACTTTTTATTTTATTTAGGCATTTACTCCATTTTTAATATAAGGGATTGTGGAACACTATTCTGTAGTTAGAACTATATTTCCACTGTTAATCTCTATTAGTGCTGAGACACCACAACAGATTATCTTTCTTCTTCTCTTTTTTTGAAGAGAAAAGTAATTAGCAGTATCACTGTAGTAATTTCTCAAAATATGTTTAGCAGATGAATATTTAACTTTATGGATGATGGCTGCCTAAAAATATTGAGAAACTTTTATACCTAATATATTGGTAAATGATCTTTGACTACACTAAGTATCAAATTAGTTTTTGTATCCGAATCAATGGGTTTTCTCTTTTTAAAGTTTGTATTTTTTAAGCCAGAAGGTAACGCAGATTGGCAATCCTTATCTGATTAAGGAAATTGCATAGATTAGACAATTAGGTAAAATAAAAATTTGTGAAAAATTTAGCATCAGTCGTGTTTAATAATTGAGAAAAATAAATTTCTTGAAGTGAAGTATTTTTGGAAATATAATTTTGAATTTCTGCAAGAATGTCAAATGTTCCTAAAATGAAATATCAATATGAGTATAAATGTTTAAGATATAAAACCAAATAATAAATTCATAAAAATATAATATGATAAAATAAAAATATATAAAACTAAATATTCGACTAACTTCATCTTAAAAACATTCAAAAATTAATTCCCCTTGCTCATTTTCATATTCTCTGATCCTATCTTCAGTTTTTAATTCATTTAACTCTAAAGTTTCTGAATTATCTAAGGAAGTATCTTTAGGATGAAACATATGAGCAAATAAATCTAAAACAGTTTTTTTATCAATTTCTGCTGCTTCATTTTCTAATTAAATAATCTTTTCTATTTACACCAGTATTAATGACACTGTAATATTCTACAAATTCACTTATTCTATCAATAAATCTGCATTCTTCCATCTAATTAGCAAAGTTTTCTTTACTTAAATAAGATAAGCAAATCAGAATGTGCATAAGTACCGATACTTATATTTAATCTTTAATAAACTTTAAAAATTACTCCATTACCTAATGTGTAAATTTCGGTTAATGTTCCAAATATTATAATGTATATGGAGTATGAATAATATTAGCTAATGTAGCTGAAGCAAAAACATGACATAATACATGAATTTAAGTGTTAACTGATTTTTGCATAAGATTAACAATCTATTGAATCATTTCATTATGTACATAAGTTGGGATGACAGTTTCTTTAATACTTGCTTTTAATAAAATTGCTAAACAAAATCTCTAAGTAACTGTACCATTTTCTTGTTTTTTTAAGATTTTAATTATCTTTTCAATAATGATCATATTTCCATTATAAGTTAGATATTCTCTTCTCTCAAAGTGCTACAAATAACACTTATTAAACTAGTAATAGCATGCCTAAGGCTTTAATTATTGATATCTATATATGAAAAACTTCATCAGATTTATCAGTAGCTTAAATATTGAATACATCATTTCTAATTAATTTATAAACTAAATTTTTTCTTAATTCAGGTGCTATTTATTATTCATAACTCGAAGTGAGAGGAAAACTTCAATCTTCCATCTTAATAGTTTATATAAAGCTTAGTTTTATGTTCATGCATGACTTATTCAGATATTAATTCGGTGCCTTCTGGTTTTCCTTCGTTAATAATTACTTTATGATAGATTTATGTTAATACAGAATTTATTGATATTTTTTATTAAATATCTTTTATTCCTTTTCTAAATTGATTTCTCTTTTAGTTTTAATATTATCATTTTTTAACAATTGAAAGATACTAGGTGCATTATTCCCTGTTTATTTAATTATTTATTATTCATTCAACATCTACAATAGTAATTTGATAATTAACATTATTGGTAATCTATTTACTCTTAATTTCTGCTTCAAAGCATTCTAATGTATTAGAATAGTGAGAGTATCTTAAATACTCTTTAATGTATTCATTAATTTCATTAGCATCTGGGAGTAATGATTGTTGTCCTTAATTTGAATTCGAAGCTCTCATAAACAAATATTCAAACTAAACTTTATGATAAAGATTTCTTTTAAATTAATTGTATATATAGGAATATATTGTATATAAAAAAAAGATATTTATTTTATGCTAGGATTTCATCGTTAAGCAACAAGGCAATTGTTATTAAGTGCAAGAACATGTTTCTCAAGCAAAGGTGAAAAGAAGCCAAGTCATCCTAAATTTGTATTTGGTATTCCAAAAGAAACATTCCCAAATGAAAATAGAGTAGCAGCTACTCCAGAATCAATCAAAAATTTGGTGAAGGATGGACATCAAGTATAAGATATATATAAATAAATTAGGTCTTGATTGAAAGTGGAGCAGGTTTAAAGGCCAATTTTGCAGATAATGTATATTCAGAAGTTGGTGCCAAAGTTGTAGATACAAATGCCGTTTATGATTAATCAGATGTCATATTAAAAATTAGACCTCCTGAAAACACAAAAGTTTTAAAAGAAAATTAAACACTTGTATATTAATTTATATTAAATTTAGACATCTTTCATATATCCAGCATAGAATAAAGAATTACTTAATTAATTACAAGAGAAGAAAATAACAACATTTGCAATGGAATGTGTACCTAGAATAACAAGAGCTTAAACATATGATGCATTAAGTTCAATGGCAAATATTGCAGGATATAAAGCAGTAGTATTAGCAGCAAATGAATTTGGTAGATTCTTTGCTGGTTAAATGACAGCAGCAGGAAAAGTACCACCTGCTAAAGTTTTAGTAATTGGAGCAGGTGTTGCTGGTTTATCAGCTATTGTAACTGCTAAAAATATGGGAGCTATTGTAAGAGCATTTGATACGAGATTAGCTACTAAAGAATAAGTAAAATCTTGTGGAGCTGAATTCTTAGAAGTCAAAATTAATGGAGAAGTTGTTGATGGAGCAGGTATCGGTGGTTATGCTAAAGAAATGGGAAAAGAATATTTAGAAGCAGAATTAGCTTTATTCTTAAAGTAAGCCAAAGAAGTTGATATTATTATTACTACTGCACTCATTCCAGGAAGACCAGCACCTAAATTATTATCAAAAGAATTAGTTGAAAATATGAAATAAGGATCAATCATTGTTGATTTAGCTGCTGAAACTGGAGGAAATTGTGAATTATGTAAACCAGGAGAATTATATAATCATTAAGGAAAAGTTAAAATCATTGGTTATACAGATTTACCAAGTAGATTACCTACTTAAAGTTCAACTCTTTATGCTAATAATATTGGAAAATTAATGTAGTATATTGTAGGAACTATCAAAGATCCTAATGGAAATATTACATAAGTTGATTTGAATGATGATGTTGTTAGATAATCATTAGTTACATTAAATGGAGAACTCAAATGGCCACCTCCTCCTATTATTACATCTAAAAGTGAACT